ATAGGCCTCCCCCATATACTGCTACGAAGTACGATTCTGAGCCACCTGTATCCATTGACTTCCCACATTTGCACAGTTCGTCACTCCATCTAGTGGGGGGTCGTCCCACATACCTAACTATAATTATTTCATCATTTATTTATACTGCCGTCATACGGACAAAAGACGTATAATTATGACGTATTTTTTCCAAAAATGAGTTATTGTATTTAAATATTACGGTTTACTGTGCTGATTCCGAATATCGGAATCAGAAATTCGTTTTTCCAAAATTTGTGCAAATTAAAAGAAAAATAGCAATAAACCTAATATTACACATCTTATTTCACTACTGTTCTTAAAAAGGTAAATGTAAATAACTTTAACTCCGGCGTGATTCAATTGAAATAAATTTTAAACGATAGAGAGGGATCAGTAATGAATTTATCAACAAGCAGAATTTGGCGGTCGCCTGTAGTTTTCGAAAAAATAAATAATGAAATAGTGTGATTTTTAATATAGAAATCCGCCATTTTTTTGTTGTCAATATGTCAATTCCTTGGTGGTCATAAAAAAAAAACCTAACATCGAAGGTTAAGGCGGGAGCTTCGCTCCCGCCTGAACCTTCTAACCTAATCTATCCGAGTCGGATTCGCTCTGTGTCGGTTCTGTGACTCATTAAATTAAAAAAAAATCGGAATATCGATACGTGTATGATGTCGCCCGCTTCCTATATTTATCACGTTGGCAAAACTGTGGTATTGAGTTTTTGAAGTCAAACAAATAAAATGGTGGATTTCTTAGTACAAAAAACAAGTTTTAAATATTTTTTTCTCGAAAACTATAAGCGACCGCCGAATTCTGCTTTTTGATAAATTCATAAGTGATTTTTCTCTATCGTTTAAAATTTATTTGATTTGAATTACGCCGGAGTTAAAGTTATTTACATTTACCCTTAAAAATATCAACAATATAAAAGGACAATAAACATTTGTTAATACTTTCGTATTTTTGCCCAACTTTATCTTCGTTTAAAATCTTTATTTTTCAAATAATTGAATTCAACGGTTGATTGACTGTAAATGAATTTTATACAATTCAATTTAATTAAAAAACTTACTTGTGTCCATACACATATGTTCTCAACATTCACAATCACAAAACTTGGCACACAACATAGAACTGGGTTATAGATGAGTACAAACAATCAATCTTGATTTGACATATTTACAAAAAACTAGCACACTGCGAGGTATATAACATCAATTTATTACGAATATATTAACGATCCAACAGCAGAGCCGGTAATTGGCCGTTTATTTGAAATGAAGAATTTTCACATACATTTTTTTTTCGTGAAACCGGTACACCGTTTATAAACGTACGACGCTGTTCCGTAACCGCGAAAACCGATACGAAAGCGAACGCCTGTTGCGCGCGCGACTCGCGTGCATTTGCCGCATGTGCCGACAGCTGACTGAATCGCAATTCGGAACAACGCAACTACAACAATAATTACCAGGTTCCAATTTTTCTTTAACGATCACCGTTAGCCGTTGATAGATCACAGTTTCCATGGCGTGGAACATTAGATTTACGATAGAGCAACACTTCCCGTATTTTCAATACCACGCCGTTGAAACAGTCCGATAACAGATCCACGGATGCTGCGCATCGTAATGTATTATAAATTGTACAGATTTAGCTCTTCTGCAACTAGGTGTGATTTATGCATGGAACTGTGTCAAATTAACAATTGCCGACTGAAACGTTACGACAAATGGACGTAACCGTTATCATACTATTATGTGAGATTTTTATAACTTCCATTGCCCGTATAAAATACGTTATACAAGGGGATAAACTTTTCCATCCGTTCTTATTATTAATGCTTAAACATAAAACATAAGATGAAAGTTCTCAATCACTTATATTTTGACATAACACATAAAAACCTTTGACCTTTCGTTAATGCGGAAGCATTTTCATATAACTCTTTATCTATTATTACTCATTATTAAATTGTTTATACCTAGTAAAATAATAATGAGATTTATTTGCATGGAGCATGAGGTAAAACATAATGTGAAAAACAAAAATAAGCGTTTTCACGATATACACTAAACAAACGGAATACTTAACTTAATTATTAAAATAGAATAACATTTCTGTGTTAATAATTAACAATAACATTATTAAAATAACGATATTAAAATGAATTTCGATATTTGATATGAAAAAGATTTTGAGATGAAAATATGAAAAAGATTTTGAGATGAAAGAGATGGGTGAGTTTTTTTTTAAGAAAATTAGACTGTTTTTGATATTATGTATACAGCGTGTCTTTACAATCGCGACAATAAATGAACACACATATAGAGGATAACTTTTTTAAAATTGTATTAAACATTTACATTCTTTAAACATCAATATTTACAGAGTTATTAAATTTTCCAAAACAAAAAATTTTAGAACACCTTACGTATAAAACTGTAACGTAAAGTTCATTTGTAAAGGTCACAAAGCATATGAATGGCTTGAATGAATTTAAAAGAGACAAAACATACTGTTAGAAACAGAGGCTTGTAATGCGACGCTATGGCAACGAATGAAAAACTCGGAATGTATGAATCAGTCAGTTGTAGTTATATACGATGTTACAAATTTTGTTTCTTTTTTACTTAATTAGTTTGTTTGAAAAATATATTTTTTTAACTATGGATTTTTTTAACGTTAATATTTTTTTATTATTATTGGCAAGTAGCGTTAGACGTGTGTTCATTTATTGTCGCGATGGTAACGACACGCTGTATAATAAATAACACGTTTGTTGTCATTCATACAAAAGAAATAATTTTAAAATAACCATAATTTTATCGTTTCAGTGTCCTTTCATTTTACTAGTCCATGGCATGGAGCAAGGATTATATTTTTCAACCTCTTATTTTTACAATTTAATTTTATTATATATAAGTTAATTTTAATAAATAGTATTCTCCAATAATTAAATGAGGCTTATTTCAAAGGGCTATCGATTGATGTTTTAATAAAGAAGACGCATAAATACATACTGCTCAGCGTATAAAAATTCTTCCGCTTTACATTATAAGACATAATTATATAAAGTGACAGATGATAATTAAGTAAAGTAAAGTAACAGCCTATACATGTCCCACTGCTGGGCAAAGGCCTCCTCTATACAGAGGGTAGATGATAATTAAGCTATATAAGAATTCTATAGAGTTGCAATTTAATCACCCCAATTGGTAAAATCTGTGTGCCTCAGTTTCGATACGCTAGTGTCATATCTACCTCGTATTTGTTATAATATCATTGGGGCCAATGATCTTTAAAAATATAGATAACACTCCACACTGCGTGGCGTTTAAAAATTGTTCCGCTTCACATTATGTGACATAAGTGAATGTGACAGATGATATAGAACTTATGATATGGAAAGAGATAGCAGTCTTTTTTATGTGAAAAGTTGCCAAGCGAGCAGGAGGTTCACCTGATGTTAAGTGAATACCGCCGCCCATGGACATCTGCTACACCCGAGGGTTCTAGATGCATTCTCAACCTTTAGATAATTGGGCTCCGGCTACCTCACTCACCAGACGAACCCCGAAAGTGCTGTACTTCCAATTCATGCCGGTCTTCTGTGGATCGTGGTACTATACTAGTCTATAGAATTACACTAATTGATGTAATTTGAGTGCCTCAATTTCGCTATTGTAAAAATAAATAGCACAGTTTTATGGATTGATAATCACCAGATTTTGATAAATGAAACCTCAGAGCACCTAACAGTCGAAATCTGAAAAATGTATGAATTGGTTTATAATACAAAAAATTAATATTTGATGTTTCATAAAACACCCATAAATTACATTCCTACACTGCAAACACAAACTTTAAGATATGAGCAGTAGACAAAACGGCAAATCAAATTTTGCCACGCACGTACATGAAAATTTATGTTAAAGATGTACGTCAACGGTTTTGGGACGAATTAGCATCCCGGCCATTTTTATGTACTTTAGTTCCATCACTTTGCGTCTAAAATGTAATAGGACTAAAAAGTAAATAAGGAACGGAACTGCTATACTCTCTGCAGCGCTAGTATTTGCGGAGCATCAGAAAACTGAATATTACACTCTCAAAATACGTCTCTCTAAAACAACCTCGCTTAGGAAGTAAAGTAACAGCCTATATAGTTATGTTCCACAGCTGGGCAAAGACACGCGACCCCAATGCGGAGAGGCGGACTTCACATAACTTCTCAATATTATTTTGTAATACTATTTAAAAGATATGCATATTTCAAAAATATGCTTTTTCTCACGATGTTTTCCTTCACCGTTGAGCACGATATAAATCAGCAATTTCATTCGTGACCTGGGATCTATCTCAAGTTGCTCGAGTATATTGATTTAAACTTAGCGCCCGTAGCTACCAAGGCTGTAGTAATGTGTAAGAAATATAAAATTAGCATAATTATAATTAAATAACTACCGAATTACATTTTTCCGTAATAATGGAAACACCGTGTGAATTAGCTTAAAGGTAGGTACATAAAGATAAATAAAATGAAAAGAGAATGCATATATACATCATATATTCGAATAACAGTTATGAGTATAAAAGAGCACTTATCAAAATCTTACTACTAAGATATTTAAAAATCAGTCTCTGATAAAACAATACTATAAAATTATTTCATAATGGAATGGAAAATTAGACGAAATATTTTTAACACCTTTGACAGAGCTTGTCAAATAAATAGAACAGATTAGGCGCTTTGATTATAGTTAATACTTGTCTATAATCAAAGGTAAGAAACTCTTTATGATATAATAAGTAACCTATAGAAAACAAGATTCAGTATATGACCATATAAAATTAATTACTATTATTTGATACATTTAACAGTTTATATACTGTGGTTTTTTTTAATCAATTTCCGTGATTATTTAGGCCAACGTATCGTGCGAATCTTTTTTATGTACGTTCACCGATTACTCGATGACGCCTGAACCGATTTGGAAAATTCTTTTTTCATTGGTATCGGTATATCTTCCATGGTATGGTCCCGTATTAATTTCATTGATGTTGGTCTTTGGCCTCCGGAGATACATCAGGGAACTCCTCTAAATCAAATAGAAAAAGTACAGTGAGTGGATATTTGGAGCCGGTTTGGTTTTTGTAAATAAAAATGCATTTGTATACTAAAGATAAGTGGTTAACGCGTTAACGCGCACCACGTGGCAAAAAATGAAAGAGGCAGCAAATTAGTTTAATACGGGTACGAAAAAGACGGATGCTCGTCGAGATTTTTTTTACACTTATGCTAAAGTGACTTGCCGTCCTCCTTTGTACCATTCAGACAAAACGTGTGACTATGTGCAGCCTATTTCCAAAGAGTGCTCTGTTTTGAAATAGGAACACTTCCGACAGGTGATTTTGTATGCGTATAACATATCTATAGTACAGAATATCATAAAATCATAATAATTAGTTTAAAAGCATTAAAAATTTGCATCATCCATTTTATATTTAAAATAAAAATCGAAATTGTAAAACAATAAACAGAAATTTATAACATATTGAATCCTAATTTTATGCTTTGCCTATGTAGGGATTTTTTTTAAATTATCAATATATTTACTCAACATTACAAATAAATTGTTAGTGTGTATGAGAGAATAGAATATAGAGATTGAATGAAATTGAAAACTTAACAATTTTGGTAATCAAAGAAAGGAAAGCAAACGTTGATGAGAATGTGAACGTGTCGTAGTGTGTTGTGTACGTTGTAGTTGTTGTATATATGTAACACTTATATTACCATGTAACATCCTTTTTTACAGAGATGTAATAATACTGAACATCTGAAATTATGATTAAACACATACATTTGTAATATAATGCAAATAACATAATCCTTAATTTCCAAATTATGTAGTTGATAAGTCAACAATATTTACACCACCTGGAGAATACATACTTACAACTTATAAACTTTATAATGCAAGAAAGTTTCCTTCGTTTACATATCACTAAAAGTAAGCACAAGTAGAATCCAAACATAGTTTAGTAACTTAATGAGTACTGTTATATATTTCGGATATTTCTTTATGTTAGTATAGTCAATTGATTATATGAAATACAAATTCATTATATATATTATTAAAGTTCATGTACAATATTGAATTATAATTAAACATCTTAATTGCTACTTTCCATAACTACATGAAGCACAATTTACAATTCTCAGTAATTTAAAAAAAATCATCATTACAGAATTTCCTCATGTTTGCCATTTTTTATTGTACACTTAATAATTAATTTTTCGCACAAACGGTTTCGCGTCTCGTCTCATGAGTGAGGTAAGCGAGGCCAACACTTTAAAAAAGTTTGTAATGCGCCTACAAGTTTAAGTTGTTGTTGTGTTTTATACAGGTTAAGTCTACGGGCGGCGATAATAACCGCTTATGTCGGACGAAACGCCTGTTTGATTGTCAACTTTTATCATAAAGAAATTGAAACGTGTGCGTAGTTATGTCCGCACGTAAGAAGTATGTATTTCTTTAGCGTAACAAAAGAAAAATAACTAAAAATTTCATCCCCTGTGCCAGTACCTACTCTTTGCTTGAAAAAGACGTTTTTTTATGTCAAAAAGTGGCAAACGAGCTGGCGGTTCCCCTGATGTTAAGTAATAACCGCCGCCTATGGACATTTGCAACACCCGTAGGGTTGCAAATGCGTTGCCGCCTTAAAATAGAGTGGGCCCCGGCTACCTCACTCACCAAACGAAACGCATAAGTGTAAAACTTCTACTTTACGCCGGTCTTCTGTGAGGTCGTGGTAATTACCCAGACGGACCTGCCCATTCGTGCAACAGTGAAATCTGTTGCGTGGTCCTACCACAGTTGATAACGTTATATGCAATTGATAACGATTTAATTAAATAACTTGTAAATATAGATAAATAAATGTCAAAAAGTTGTTATTGGTTACCATAGTAATACCGTAATTATTGGTAAAAGTTGGTCGCTTGTCGCTTTGCAATCAGCTTCATCAAGTAGCTTTTTGACTGTCAGTGTGCTCGCGCATCGTAAAAATTTTAATCTCAATTTTTTTCCAAACGCACCAAAAGAATCATAACTTCAAAAACATAAAAAAGACAGGTATGACATGTGTATCACAACATCTACTGGTTGAATCTTTTTGCAACATATATACATATATTTCAAACAATTTAAAGCATGGTAACAACACATCTATACAAGCATGCATGTCATTTGGTTTTAGATCTTAGATCTTGATGACATTTTACACCTAGGAATGTCCATTAAAGACAAATAGAAATATTAAAAAAATAAAAAGGCAGTCCACAAGCAAAAGATCTAAGCAAAAATATCAGTTTATATTCATACCAGTTACACCTAATTGATGCGGACTTTATCCAACATTGACAAGACCATTTGGAGTGTAATTACACACATAATCTTCAGATTCTACTTTTACATTTCCATAATGACTATCGCCATTTGACATTTTGTTAATGGACTCATCAATACAGTCCAAAAGATGATTAAAAAAGTTTGGAAAATTATCATAACTAGGAAATACATTAATATCTATTACAGCATGATGACCTGATGTGTTATCTATAACCACATCAAACCCAGCAAGAAGTAAGCCAATTTTGTTTCTTAACACTTTTATGATAGCCTTTATCTTATTTTCATCAAGGGTCATTTTTATGTCTGCTTTGTCATGAGGATCCAAAATAGAAAGTGTGGACTGACTATCAGCTTTACAAACTTCACCAGTGCTGTAAAATATAGGTTCCAAATCCTCAGAAGCATAAAAGTTTTTAAGGCTAGGACGCTTGCATATGTGATACCTGAAAAGAAATATAAAATAAATTATCATTTAATGATTAATAATATTTCAAAGCAGCTTAATTACCTAAACATATCAACATACATATTCTATTTTTGTTTAAAGATTTATTTCTTCAAAACAAACAATAGGGATGTTATTCAGCTCTATAACTGTATTCAAATAACAAATTCACAGGGGGCTTCCTGGCTGAACAGCTGAATATTAGGCAAAAATATTCTAGTTTATTTAAATTATATAATTGTACTTACATTTCTTCCAAGCCGCATTGCTTATTATAACAAGTTATTAAGAATGTAATGTAAATATGTAAGCACAGTTTATTATACTCCCTACATTAAGATGTTTAATTATTTTTATAGGAAACTTTTGTAGTCTGACTAATAATAATGGATTATAAGGATAAAATAACCAAATAAACAGAATGCCAAATAGAATAGTCAAATATTTGTAGTAAGTCTAGTTAAAATTTAAGAAATATTACTAAAATATAAATAATATAATTCCAGGTCCAAATTCACAAAACAGAGAGATTGTAAAAGTGAACAACAGAATATTTTAAATGAGTATAAAATCTTACTTATTTCCGATTAGGAACACTTTGTGCAAGACTGCATTATGGTTCACCAAACTTTGAACAACACATGGTGGCTTGCACACAATCAAGCCTCTTTTGTTAAATACCAAGACCATTTCATGAGCCGATTTAGAGCCATGTGCTATTGTTGGTTTGCATATAACAGGGAATGTAACACCTCTCTGTCTCATTAATTCCATATTCTGCTCAATATTGCATGTTGTGAACTCAGCAAAACTTGGAGTAAAAATTCCACGACTTCGGAATGCAGGTTCCTCTTTTAATAAAGAATAATAACAATATCTGGAAAAATCCAATAAAAATAAAACCTTAGTTCACCGGATTTTAAGTAATAACCACCACCCATGGACATTTGCAACACCCGTAGGGTTGCAGATGCATTGCCACCATTTAATAAAGTGAGCTTCAGTTACCGCACTCACAAGTTACTTCCCCATATGGATATACCAATTCATGAAGCAGCAAAAACTGTTGTATGGCCACACCACAGTTATACCATAGAACATAATCATTTAAATATACATATGAAATATAAATACATTACGCTCACCTATTTAAAAGTATTCTAACATTATCTAATGGATCAATTACTATGATATTTGGATGATTAGACAGGTACTGCTCTACATTGTTTATGATCCCAGAAGCCTGTGGTAATAAAAAAATTATGACTCTTTTATCCTATAAACTTTTATAAAACTGACATAAAATTTCAAAAAAGATACTTTGGGATCGCCTTGATCTGCCGCTGCTATAACATCAGTTAATTTATGAAGAAAAACATGAAATTCCTCTTGTTCTTCTAAAGCTCTCTCTAAATCAAGCTGGAAAATACATTGAATATTATTTTATTAAACTATGATATTAAAGGTTTCCAAAAATATGTACAGTTAATAAGTTACCTTTATAAGATTGTAACCATGTAAATGGCAAGTTTTAATAAGTTCCTTCCAATTCAATTTTTGACTTTTCTTGTCCGACATCCAAATCCCTATATTTTTATAACAAATACCTGATGTTGTATTCATTATGTTATACTTCAATATATCTATTAATATAATTTCTATTTTTTCATGAAAATATTACAAACAACACACATTTTCCAAGAAGAAAAGTATTTTAACATGTATACAGCCCGAGATATTACAATGGAAAATTGTATTTGTCCAAATTATTCAATTAGGTAGTCTATTTTTCCTCGTAACTAAAATATAACACTTTCTAAAAAAAAATTTTAGGTATGGTATGTTATGAAGGGATTTTATTGCAGAACCGTAAGTCAAAGTCACATTCGTCAAAACTCTACGAAATTATAATTAACAATATTTTTGACAATCATTGAGAGTTGAGTGAAAGAGAACCATCATTGTGAAAAACGCAGACACTAGGGATGGGCGTATATACTGGAACAGGTATAAATACCCAGTATGAACATGCCAGTACGCGCACCGGGTATGTACGGCAGAGGCCCGTTCCATACCCGCACCGATAGGTATGGCTAGAAGTGGGCGATACAAATCGTATCAGATATGAAATCTAGATATTAGTACAATATCCGAATATCGCTTACTGGCTCGTTCAATATCTATGTATTTTACAATATCTGATATTTCCGAAATCTGATATACCGAATACTCGCTCGCTCACTATACCGACACGAATCGCGATATCATACGGTTTGCCACAATATCTGATTTTTAAACAGATTTCGAGAGACAAAGCGCGTGAGATACAAATACTCACTAGTTAGAGCGGGACGGCAAGCAATGAACGATATCAGATATCGAGCGACAAAGCGCGTGAGATATAAATACTCACTAGTTAGAGCGGGACGGCAAGCAATGCACGATATCAGATTTTTAAACAGATTTTGAGCGACAAAGCGCGTGAGATACAAATATTACACTAGTTAGAGCAGTACGGCAAGCAAGGCACAATCTTTTTTTAAACAGATGTTATGAATAAGTTAAGTAATTTTGAATCTTAAGGTGATGCAAATAAGATCCGTTTTAATTAAATACTACAACGATATTATTATATTTTTATTGTTTTGTTTAGCCTTGAGCCGTAACGGGCGACAAAGCGCGCAGTTAAGTAATTTTGAATCTGAACCGCTTAGAAAAAAAAAATTTTAGTTGCATTTAAATACGAATTACGATATTAACGATGTCTTTAAAGTTTGTTTAGCCTTGAGCTGGATTGCATTGGTACCTAGCACGTAATAGTTAGGGATGCCAACTTACTACTTAAGAATTTTCTGCCAAAATTAAGGAAGAAAAATATAAATGGAAATGTTTTAGGTGGTAAATTTTTTGTCAATATTTTTATTAGTTAAATTTTATTCATATTTTTGGAAAATTTAAAAAAATAAAAGTACATTTCTTTTTTTCTTTTCTTACACAAATTATAAAAATATTGTCACTCATGATTGCGTGTTCTAAGAATATGTTAAAGTCTATTATTAAGCGATATATAAGATGTTAAAATAAATCATTTTTATATTACTTCAATTTCTATTTTTAATGAAATTTTTAATTTAATCAGGTAATTTTACCTTGATAGTATAAAAAAAGTCGTGATTATAAATTCAGTAAGTTTTTTGAATTTAGTCGATTTTAGTGGGTTTTCGAATTTATTTAGAAGTAAGCTTTTTGAACAGTTGGTATATGGAATGAATCAACTTTTAAATACGCCTGCACAATTTATATTCATAATGAGTATAAAATCGTCGTTGAAAACATTTTTTTTTTTAGAATTCAATGTGGATACGTGACCGTAAAATATCTAGATATTAAAATACATAGTTTCGAAATCTGATATTTGAAATCGAAATCCGATTCAGATACGGTACTCAGAAAAAGCGATACGACCCATCTCTAGGTATGGCTATGGCCGCCTCGCCCGACAGTGGCGGTATCTAAGCTCGCGACAACCCGCCGGCCAAATAGGTACGAAGTTCCCCGGACGCTTACGGCAGCTCTTTCCTATCATGCCCGAATTGAAACGTATGATTTAGACATTTTATACCAAATATTTCCTTGAGATAAATTTATTCTTTATTTCTATTAATTTATTACAATTAGGTAGATAAATAATTGCGTAATACGATTAAACAGTAATATTTATTTTGAATTACTTTTTTTTTTATAATAGGGTTCTTTACGTTGGTAAAGATGGAGCTTAATTTAGACTGATTAAATCTCAAATTAAAAAAAAATTCCAACCAAAGAAAGGTTCAATTCCATACCGGGTCTCCATTAGGAGGCCTGAACATAACTATTACCTATAGGTATTTTGATACTGGGTTTTAGCACCGGGTATACGGCGATACCCGTACTTTTGAGGCCGGGTATAGAATGTTGCAGGTATATCTCATGCCTAGGAGACACCAACATAGTGATTACATTCTCTTTGGCAGACACACTATCAAGTAGGGATGACGGATATTTTTTTAAATATATCGATATTTTTGCCCGATGTACTTTGATACGATTTATCGATATAAAAAATTGAATATTGAAATCGTATCAAAATCGATATTTTTATTGAAAGCCGTAAAAGATATAAATGAACGGAAAAAACTGTGGTCTGTTAATAGTATTGTCGCGAATGCAGAGTTGCATTTTGTACTATAATTATGGTATTTATACCACAATTTGATGCTTCGTACTTAATAGTATCCATATCTTTATGGTATAGAGGTATTACAAACCATTAATATTGAACTACATATTATGTTAATTTATAAATATTAATATTGATATTTATATAAATATCGCTATATCGATATGTCGATAACCAGTCAGATAACAGCTACCGATCGAGCCGAGGTCCGGCCCTCTCGGGCACCCTCGAATCGGAATGCTAAACGCGTGTTGAGTGACAGCCCAAGCCGAGGTCCCCTCTCGGGGACCCTTGAGCCTGATCACTCCATGGAGCCCCCGCCAAAGCGCCCTAAGAGCTAGGCGACCTCCCAAACCGGTGAATTAAATAGCGTGACGGCCCGAGCCGAGGTTCCTTCGGGAGCCCTCGAGCTTAGTCACCATAACGCGTAATAATAAATACGCGAGGTTCAGGCTAGGCGCCTCGAGCGCCCGGCCACCTCAAGCCCGTCGGATCTGTAAAGGCCCCTAAGGCCAACAGTGGCTCATCCAGCCATATAAAATAAAAAAAATGTCTATATTTTTTTCAATTTTTGGCATCCTTAGCATAGACATAACAGTAGAACATCTCTACAAGAATTATCCATTTTCATATGAATCGATAATTTTTTCTTATAATCGATTTTCTATAATAAAAAAAGTGACGTTAATAAAGCGTACGTTATATTGTCAAGAGTATGCTGCAAAGTTATATAGAAAATAAATTGGAGTTGAAGGAAGAAAGGTTGGATTGGAAGGTAGGAGTAATGATTTTGATAAGTAGCGACTTGTCCTAAAAGACAGGCCTAGATCAACATAATTTTGTATTAATTGTTTCATCATCATCATCATCATCATCATCAGCCGCAAGACGTCCACTGTTGAACATAGGCCTCCCCCTTAGAACGACACAACGAACGACACTTTGCCATTTGCATCCACCGGTGGCCGATGGGGAGTAAAGGTTCTCGAGTGGCGACCACGAACCGGAAGACGTAGCGTTGGAAGGCCTCCCTCTAGGTGGACCGACGACATCATAAGAGTCGCGGGCAACCGGTGGATAATTGTTTCATTGACATGAAAATGCCGAACGATAATTTAAAGAAGTTACTTATGTGGTTAAATGATATTAAAATGATATGATTGTAAAAATTATTACGACGTAAAATATTTTTTTATAAAAACTCGAAATTATATTGTGACATTTAATTATTGAGAATTTGATTATAATTAAATTTTTGTTAACGTTATTGACATATTAATTTAAAGTAACATGAATATTTTGCATGCTATTTATAAATCAACATAGTATGTAATTTATAATGATTTGTAATACCTCTATACCATGTTGTACCTAAGATATGGATACTATTACGTACGAAGCGTCAAATTGAGGTATAAATACCATGATTATAGGACAAAATGCAACTCTGCATTCGCGACAATACTAGAAATGGACCACAGTTTTTTCAGTTCATTTTTATCTTTTACGCCTTGAATCACTTTGAATAAAAATATTGATTTTGATACGATTTCGATATTCAATTTTTATATCGATATATTGGATCAAAATATCGGCCAAAAAAATCGAAATATTTAAAAAAAATCGATATATCGATATTTTTTCGGCATCCCTACTACTGATCTTAATCTTATCAATCTTGTCAGCAATGCTTATCAATGCAGCTAGCGTTCTTGGCACCATGCCGCGTGGATTAGGTTTATTAGATAATATGTAATTTTAGATAGATTTAATCTTGTAAATATTAGATCAATAAAGATTGCCCTTATTTAAAAAAAAAAAAAAAAAAAAAAAAAAAAAAAAAACTTGTCATATCAAAATATAATTCATAACGTTGTACGATCACCCAAATGAGAAATACCTAAGTTTTACCTTAAGCTATACTTGCGTGTTTACTCTACTAACAGTCATAATAAAGCGACAATATTATATTTTTTTAAATAAATTATGTAGTATGTTGAATACCTGTTAAAGTACATTTCCAACATAAAAGTTTATTACATACAATTTTAATCTTAGTAGCTGAGACTTAAATCAAAAATTTAATAATTATCAGTAAAAATGTCCGAAGAAGGTATAGTAAATACCAAATTTCGAATTCTTGAGTTACTATTGGAATTTGATGAATCTGAGCTTGATGTGTTTGAACATTGGATTATATCACATACATATAGAAAAGGTATGCAGTGTAACATAACTACTAGACTACTACTATTATTTTGTTTAGCTGTTTATTAAATAAACTTAAATATTATTTCAGATCTGAAATATAAAAAATTACTGCAGAAAGAGGAAAAGCAACTTATCAAAATAGGAAATTCCTTGAAAAAATTAGTTCCTTTTGAAGGTGAAATGCCATCTGAAAATATTGTACCTCCTAGCATTGGAGATCAGGCAGATTGCAACAATATTAACACCTGCCATGTAGATGAATTTTTATATGATGAGCATGAAACTGAAGATTTGGTTAAACATGGTAAACTAATAAAACAGTTCTGTCTAGATTGCAATTCACGAAATGTTAAGGTAAGTATGATAAGCAGGGAGAGATCATTTAGTTACTGTTCAATATATTTGAACTATGAATGAGAAATACTAATAAAGCAAATAAATTTCACTAAATGCATATCACCTTTTCAAGATTTAGTAGCCCACCCTATGGTTTTGTTAAATTTTTTAATAATTATTTATATGAGCAGTAAAAATTATTAAATAAAACTGTTAATATATATATATTTTTGCTAATTTTTATTTATTTCAACTTTCACTTGCTCAGCGGTGAAAGAAAACATCATGAGTAAACCCGCATATTTTCTAAATAATAACAAAAATATTTGAATATAAGTGAAGTCCACCAATCTACCGGGGCCTAATGGTGAACTATACCCTGATACCCTCTGTACAAAGGAAGCCTTTGCCCTGCAGTGGGATATGTATAGGCCTTTACTTTACTTTTACTTAACTTATAATTCCCAATGTGTTAAGTGTTTGTAAATTTACCCTGACTCTTGTTAAGTCACAGCTTGGCAACCATTAACATATCCCATGCTTTGCATACCTGCTGTGTGGTATGCACTGATTGTGATCTCAACCTTTCTCAAGAGAGATGCAATGAATTTGTTGTTCCATCAATACCTTATTTTCAAATAATAAAAGGATTCAAAAAGTAAATTAACACTATCTCATATATTTTGTATTAAACTAATTCATCTAGCTTAAACAAAACAAATTATTTAATTTCTACACTGTCTATATTCTTAGTAAGTTATTAAACTCTCCAAATGTTTCAGGATCTGATTTTCATTTCACATTCAATGTCAAGACAAACTATTCAATACATATTCAAAGTTCTACTTCCGAAAGATTTGGATGATAAACAATTATTGGATGTTGGTTCCAGAATAGGGGCAGTAATTTTTGGTGTAAGTATTGTGCTATACATTGATTTAAATAGAATGTAGCTGTAATGTGAGACTATGTAATTTTTTTAATATTTTACTATTTCAGGCTTATTACTTTTCAAATCTCTCTACCATAATTGGCATTGAAATGAATAAAGAATGTTGTGATATCCAAGATAAAATTATAGGTCAATTTTCAATGGACATGAATAGAATCAAAGTTATACATTCAGATGTAATGGATAGAAGTGATGCAGTTGTAAGCTCTGACATAATTGTCATTAACGTTTTGGATTTCTTTGTAGACATTGAAAAACATAAAGAAATGTGGTATTTTTTCAAGAAACATATTAAAAAAGGCAGTTATCTTGTTACTAACAGAAGTATGGCAGACACATTGAGCTATTTAGATATTTTTGAAGAATTCATGAGCTGGTTAACTATCTGCAAACCTAATCAAATTGAAAATGAGATATTTTTCGATATTGAAGATAATAGTGAAATATACTTATATACTGTGAATTAAGAATATTAGACATTGTAAATGTATTCAGTAACTGAATACATTTCTAATTTTAATTTCCTCAAGTTTTATTTATGATTCAGTTTATCAACAGATATTAAGCTATAATTTTGCATAGGTTAAGAGTCATTTTATGGGACATGAAATTTAATTGACCAGTTTCTAATTCGAATGTTTATTCAATAGTGTATAATATCTCAATAATTTTTATATAATCTTTCAAACTTTCAGAATTCGTAAGAATTAATGAGTTCTGACAGATTTGTCTAAAATAAGTCCTGTTTCCCAGCTTACACACTAACCAACATAGTGTAGACTTAGAAAAAACTGTGACAAAGTTTTAGACTTTTAGACTTTTTCTAAAAGCATTAAAAAATTAAAAAAAATTAAAGATTGGTTTGTCACATGTCGTTACATGCTGTGAGCATGATTGAAGCCGGACTAGTTAGTCTAAAGCCATCTCTAGTTAGTCTGTGCCGGACATGCACAACAAAGAGAACGTAATCACTACGTTTGATGGTGCACAAACTGAAGTGAAGTTGCAGTTGCCGTCCAGTCCAACCAGCCTGTTAACTCTGTTATGAATTATGAATATGAAATATGAATTTATTATACTATCCAATCCAACGTTTGTGGCAACTAGTGTTGCATATCGATAGTCTGCTATCGATAGACAATCGATTATCTGTCGATATTTAACGTAAAAGCAATAGTATTGGTAGTCTATCGATAGTATTGTCACGTGTCAACACTGTCGATCCTACCGATAGTATCGATGGCTCTCCTAGTGCTAGTACTATTGATAACAGCAATACTATCGATAGTAATGCATGCGATAGTGTCGATGGTATCGATAATCATTATTCAGATATAGATCAGTATTGACTTGAGACGATTTTATCGGTAGTACAATGGATATCCTGAATAGTTTTCGAGGTTAACTATCGATAGTCAAACTATCGATGGTTGTGCGACACTAGTGGCAACATTATCGCATCACTGGGAAGATGTCTGAATGACATCCTGGTAGAAATTGAAAAACTATAGACAGATGAGACCGTTTTATTGCCAGACGGGAGCGAAAAATCAATGACTGTGCGGCAACTCGTGGGCAGGCTGCGATCGCAACGCGAGGTGACTATCAGCACCCAAACTGCCTGGAGGAGACTGCAGGGTGGTAGCTATTCGGCGTTCCTATCGTGCTTGGCGGTTTCAGTGGGCATGCATTCAAGTACGATGGCCGAAATGTTATTCGTGTTCTATTTTTTAATGAATCCAGGTTTGGCTTTCACCCTGATACAAGAAGAGTAGGTACGTGTGTGACTTCATGAACGTCTGCGATGTCTTCAAGAATTTCATTGCTATCACAGCAGGACCTCATTTTGATATGAGACAACATGACTAGCGAAAAATACCTCAGCGAGGAGCTAAATCGTATGGTTGTTTCGCACAGAAATGGGGGAGGATTTCATCTTCATATAAGAGAATGCTCGAATACACACTACAGGTCTGGTGATGAACGTTTTTCGTTGTTTGAACGCTGTTTAGAACGACGCTACTGTCGAACATTTTCCAAGACAACAGGCAAACAACCGTTAATATACCAGTCTGCAGTAACTGTCCTTAATTCTTCTAGCACAACTGTCGAGATGAATGAAGAAATGACTTTTCCGACTGTGGCGTATTACAAGTGACATTCTTTATTCGGCGAAACAGCAATAAAACGGTTCTGAAAAGAACTCTTCTAATTTATCAGTGTAGCCCTGATAAGGACAAGATAGTAGTAGCTCTGAGAAAAGCAGTTTTATAACGGACGACGTGAATATTTGGATCGGATCTTGTACGGATTTTTTATCCTTATAGTCGTAATAAAATGATAATTCTAATTAGACACTCAAGGTGTTAACTTTTAATTAAAAGCACAGTGACAATTAAAGGAACGGTAAATTGTACTTCAAAGAAAAAATTAACTTTAAAAGAGTAACTAATCAGCTTTATCCCCCAAAAGTCATGATAAAAGATAAATAGGTGCGAGCAATATAAATATAAACATTTTCGGACACAAACTTTTTACACAAAGTTCTCTAGTCCCAAACTAAGAAACGCTTGTACTATGGGTACTAGAAAACTGATAAACATACTTTTATTTTGTAAATAAATACATATTGTACATTTATAAACACCCAGACACTGTTCGACGATGTTCATCACACAATATTTTCCCATAGTGGGGATCGAACCCACACTCTCGAGTCAAGTTGTATGACTGAGACCTCCAAACTTTTTACTTAATCTGCCAATACTTTAGTAGATCGTGGCTTTCTTGATAATATTTTTTCTGAGATATACTGTATGAGCAAATGAGTTTTCGTATTTATTATTCATCATCATCATCACTATCTAACATGTTAGCTTTTCACTGTTAACACTTTTCTAGACTCTGGCAAAAATCATTGGTTTGTCGTTAGTACTTTTTGTAGTTGCTGTGAGATTTACTTCAATTTCCAAAGTTGTAAGCAATTTCTTTTATTCCTTTGACCCATTTGAAAATGTGGCTACTTGAAACAATTTTTTTATTAATTTCTGAAAAGCTAAAATGTAATTTATTCTTCGAAAGAGACACAAAATCAAGGACATATTTTCCTGGATATTAAGATCCGTATCCGTATCGGTATCCGTTTCCGCGGATTTTGATGCCAATGATGCATATCCGCGGATCTCAATTTTAATGATCCGGCACATCACTAATCCATACATAGAGTAAAGGGGCCCATTCACTCAGGATAGGGATACCTGGCAGTCCGCCGCTTTATGCAGGATCGTGAATGGTGTTGCAGGCCTGCATAGTTTCTGGCAACACCGAGCAGGACGCGCCTTGCATCCTGCAAGGGACCTGCAAGCTCCGACCAAAGAGAATGTAATCACTACGTTTATGAGACGGGACTTCCATACTAGCCAAAAATATCAGTTTACGCGTCACTCCAATACCAACCATACCACAAAAATACCGCAAAGATGTCAAGCAACAGGAGTACCAACGTAACGAGCCCAATAGTGCTTAAACAAGCTAGCTTAGCTTCTTATCGATATCGATAAAATATACTAGGTAGAAACCGAGGTTTCCACTTAATATTTTTTTATTAATTTTAGGTAAGTATCGAGTCCGTATTTATGTCCAATGTTAATGAGGGTATATTCGGTACTAATACAAGATTGGACTTAAATGCGGACCTGAAATAAGATAAAAAGCGGTTCTGTTAATTCAAATAAAATTTTATTACTGAAATGAAATTTCTTTTTTGTCTCTTGTTTTTTCAGCTAACAGCTGTTGTCTTGCTGTACACGAGTCTGTAAAAAATTGAAACATAAAAATAGAATCAAAATACAAAAATTATTTTAGTTTTCTTACATATTCAGGGCACAAAATTAATTATACGACGTATCAATATCATAGAGATTATGTTTCAAATTTCCTGCAAAATTCACCTATTCCAATCCTTGGTCATTTATGTAGGCACACCATTCAAATATGTAAAACTTTGTGCCCCTACTCTTTCACACATTCTTATTTTTTTCAATGATAAACATTAACGTAGTTATCGATATGTGGATATTACAGTTGTACATCACTAGCACACAATTTAAATGAGATAAATTTGTTAATTTTATTTGTTCTTAGCCTGCTCTACTTACATATGGCTGCAAAGTGTTATATTTAAGTGCTTACATGGACTTCATCTAAGGGAAATCGCGCCATAAACATCCTTTTTTAAAGAATCGAATGACTTGCTCGATTTTCACCAATTTCACAGGCAAATAAACCGTCTTTTAGGCATTTTGAATTAAATATACAACTCTGAAGACCTGTAACTAGTTTTCGTGAGAAATTTTACTCTAAACAATTTAAATTTACAATTAAATAAGCATTTACATTCAAAATACGCGGTGCGAAATTAAGTTTTGACAAACAACATAGCACTTCTTGTATTGCAAGAAAGAGAAACCGCATTGAGGGAGTGTGATAGCAATGTCCGCCATTATTTGCGACGTAAAGTCCATAGAAAAATTTTTTGTTCCTAGTTTCGCCAGTTTGGCTCCGCCCACCGCTTTGTCCGCCGTGCAGGAGCGTCAGTGGTTTGGCCGTCCTGCATAGCGGCAGTGTTGCCATATGAAGAAAAAAAATGCACTAAGCCCTTAGCAAAATTGCGCTATATTATATGAAAATACGGATGATAAATTAGGATTTTTTTTCGTAAATTTACACAGTACAGATTTACATCAGAAATTATGTAAAAGGGAATTTTTTAGAAATATTTTTAGGAATTAAATTTTATTCACATATTAGAAAAAAAATCTACATAGGACTGGGTACTTTTTTTAAACAAAAAAAAACGTGTGCATCCCGGGAATCCTGACTGATGTGATAACTAAAACTAAGCTAAAAAACTTTTTTATATTGAAATAGTTCAACTTGAGTTGAACTTAAATTTTATGTATATTAGTATGATAATGTGAGGAAAGGTTATTTATTAATAAAAACTATTATCTAACAACAAAAAAAACATAGCAAAATCGCTATTTTCTTTTTTTTTTTTTCGATACTTCACGTAAATCCATGATTATTACAACAATAACACTGACACTATGATGGACGGCTTGCAGGATAGTGTGTGGGCTACATCCTGCTTTGCAGTCCTGCACGGCGGACTGCCAGGTAGGATAGTGAATGGGCCCCTTTAAACAAAAACTTCTCGAGTAAAACATCGGATCAAATCGATGCATCGCATTAAACATTGCGTGAGTTCAATGAATCGATGTATATCGATTATCCCTATTCTGCCTGCACTGGTGTAAAGTAAATATGTTTGTGTGTGGTCGTTAGGGACCATAAAATAGGGATGGGCAAGTAAAGAAAAAGATAAATATCGACGTTTTAAAAAAGTATCCATGGTTATCGAGTGAAAAATATATGCGTTCAAAAATATATCGAAATTGACACGAGTTCGATAGTCTGAAATAAATATCGAATATTGATATATCGTGATAAAAATATATACGATATGTATCGATAATTATGGAAAAATATCGTTTTATGTGTATATCGATATTTTTTGTCATGTCCACCATAAAATAAAAAATAAATGTGTGAGTAAAGTAGTCTTGCCAAACTTAGGACTATTAGCCCCAAATTTAGGGCGGAAATATGCATTTTTTTTAGGGTCAAAAAAAGTTTAGGGCCATAAATCAATAATTTCATGAATCACTATTTTCACTGACCAAAGTGACTAAAATAAAAGTGAAATGTCTATTGATGAATGTAATTAATGAAATGTTTGTAAATATAGTGTTATTTTGTTAATTATTTCAACTATTCGTAATGAAAATCAATTAAAACTAAGTTATATTATATTGACCTTAACAAAACATAAAACTCATTGAAACAATATTTTTGAATTCAATACACGGCTTTTTTTGGGGCTTTTGAAAATTGTATTAGGGCTATTTCATCTTGATTTTAGGGAGATTTCGTTTTAGTATTTGGCAGCACTCAAGTAAAGTTTAAAATGGCGCTCGATTGATTGCAATAAAAGCGGTTTCCGTTTGTGATTGTGACTATACACATTTATTCATAATATTTGTTATTAATGGTGTTTGATAAAAATGTGGCACGAAGCAAGAAAGCAAGAACGATTGATTCGTGGAATGATTGTGGATTATCGGCGAAGAGCAGAGCGACGAAAAGATTTTTATGAAAAAATTGTACGTTTATTTTTGTGTACTTTATAACTCGTTTGAATCTGTTATGTATATATATTTAGATGCCAGTTAATAAATGTTTGTCGTATGTTTTTATGGTTTAGAAAGCCGAACCAACGCAATTTTTGCAGCTTCATGGGCGTCCATGCAAAATACATTTGGATCCAGCTATTGCTGCTGCTGGAGAAGGGCCTGCTATTATGTGAGTACAAAATTACTATTTTTTCACGACTTTAATGAAAACGGTTTTTGTTCACTAGTTAAGCCACTTGAAATGTGCAGTTTATAGATAAAGTTTGAAGTATTAATTTAATAACGCTACATTTTTGGGTGAAATATAGAACGGGGAATTCTAACAGTTTGTAAAGACATACATATTATTGAGTTTAAAACTATTGTAATTATCACAGGATGCCATGGCAAGGTGATGCCAATAATATGATTGACCGTTTTGATGTAAGAGCACATCTCGACTACATCTCAGATATAAAAAACCCAGATATACCACCTGAAGAGCTAGGCCAAGAAGAGAGACAATGCAATTATGAGAGATACAGAATTCTTGCACAAAATGTGTTTCTTGGGATAAGTATGTGAAATAATATTTACTTAAATAAAATATCATATACATAAAAAGTTTCGAGTGAACATAATCATACTTGGTTTGGCCTTGGCTGACATTATCAGACATAATAATGGCAAATAGTGATTACTTCAATATCTTCTATAAGACTGTTGTATGAATACAAAACATCATAATTATGTTTATTTTTAAAATGTTTTAAATTAAAATTTTCTTACATTCTTCAGAATAGTACTGCATAATTTTCACTTAATTTAAATCAATATTACAGGTGAGGATAAATTCTTACAACAGCTAGCATTAGAAGAACAATTTGGAGTTACTATTGATGAAAAGGAAACACAAAAAGAGAAGTTGAGTGAGAAAAAAGGGACTGGTGCTGCTATAGGCTACAATTATAATGATCCCGGAGCACAACCATCTTGCTCTAATGGTAGATTCAACCCCACTTATTTTAAACCTCAATCTGCTGTGATGCTTAAAGGATTTGATTGGGTACCTATTGGGATAGATGATTAGTACTGTTAATGGGATTTTTTATGGCATTGAGTGTTAAATTCCAGGCCCAGAGGTTAAGAAAGTTGAAGTGAAAGATTCCGATGATGATTCTGATCTGGAAATTATTGATGTTGATTTAAGCATTGATGTTAACAAGATGGAGGCATCACAGGTGACTAAACATTATTTATTCTATTATGTATATAAATAATTAAAAAAATAATAATTTGATACTGATTTCTTTGGCATTATTTCTTCTGTAACATTAGATATTATATGTAATTTCTAAAGACTTCAATACATATTTTTATTTTTTTGAGTTTGAGGTTTTAGTCTTAAAACAAAAATGTATGTTGACTTCTGTATTATAAATTTAAGCAATCCTTGTTTTTAGGGTTCCGGACCCAAAGGGTAAAACGGGACCCTATTACTAAGATTTCGCTGTCTCCTTGTCTGTCCGTCTTACACCAGACGGTTAAATCTCATGAACCGTGATAGTTGAAATTTTCACAGCTCCTGTATTTCTGTTGCCACTATAACAAGAAATACTAAAAAATAGTAAAACCAAATATTTGAGTGGGGCTCCCATACAACAGACATGTTTTTTTTTTGCCATTTTATAGGTATTACCTCCCCCTTCCGACTCGCACTTGTCCGGTTTTTGGGAATGGTTGTGCATTTTTTATTTGTTATCTTTATAATCTTATGTTAATGATGTAAAACATAATCTATGAGTGTTTTAAATTAGAATTATACAGTTTATTGCTTTGTTTGAAGAAATGTTTTTTTTTCTCTGTATACAGCATGTCGTTACAATCGCGACAATAAATGAACACACATATAAAGGATAACTTTTTAAAATTGTATTAAACATTTACATTATTTAAACATCAATATTTACCGAGTTATTAAATTTTCCGAAACAAACAATTTTAGAACGCCCCTACGTATAAAACTGTTACGTAGTTTATTTGGAAAGTACACAAAACATATGAATGGGTTGAATGAATTTGAAAGAGATGAAACACTGTTAGAAGGTGAGACTTCTAATGCGTTGCTGTGGCAACGAATGTAAAAGTATAGGATGTTACAAAGTTTGTTTATTATTTTTATTTAATCACTGTGTTGAAGAATATTTTTTTTAGTTATGGATTTTTTTTAACGTTTATATTTTTTTATGATTATTGGCAAGTAGCGTTAATTTGCGTGTGTTTATTTATTGTCGCGGTTGTAACGAAACGCTGTATATCTGCAATCAGCACCATGGTCTTTATTACTAGGTGTTCTTAGGTCAGGGGTGGAAGTTTTTGGGGCAATTACAATTAATAACTTAATTACAAAAAGCATTATGTTTTATTTCTCTCTTATAACTGGTTGTTGTAAACACCATTTTTTTGTATAATAATAATTGTTGTTGACTTATTCATTGTATGTTGGCATTTTTAGGTATTTATGTATCTCCAGGACTTCTAGGTATTTATGTTACTACAACAATACACATCTTCGCCATTTCTATGTTGGACTTATTTGTTTTAAATGTTATTGTAAGACCATAAATTATTTGTGTCATAATATTTTTAGCAGAAAACAAAACTTTTAAATGGCATGCAAACCACCATTTATTGTGTCAGTTTCTTTACTCAGTTAGTTCGTTCTTTCCTGTAGCTAGCTTTCCACAGTGTGGATTCTTTTCTTCTTTCTGTGCAAAGTAATCATTTGAGTTATATGATAGCAGTTAATTATGAGGTATTGTTTTATACAATAAACTGCATTGTGTGTTAACATATATATATTTGTTATCTTTTTTTTAATTACTAAAAATACCACTTTTTAATTACTAATTAATTAAAATAATTCTTCGGCCGTGCTATTTGCATACCAGAATTTTACAATGGACATACACTTACGCGCTCAACAATGTTTTTATCATACAAATTCTTGAAGCGGGCGGGACTCGAATCTATATACATAATTCGTAAGAACCTAATATAAATTTCACATGGACGAAAATAACACAAATACTGTGGAAATTGGACCCCGCGACTCGCATTAATTACTTAGCATCTGTTTCTAGACTTTTTAATGATCTGTGATAGAGATGCCAATTAATGTGATATGTTGGCCGCACAAAACTGAAGTAAACTTGCAAAGTTCGTCATAGTCATGGTATAGTACGCGATTTATATGAAACAAGAGAACCATACTTCGATTGTTGAGATATTGTATTAAACTTTTGTTTTAGTCTAATTGAACCATTAGATCAAATAGTGCAAGCGCACAACTGGCAGAGCTCGCTAGGCTTACGGGCGTTAATTTCGACCGGGCTGTTGTTGCCTTCCATTGACGCTTCTAACAGTCCATTTCTGCGGAGCGCAGGCGCACGAGCTGAACGCGGTGGGTCCGCTGTTCGGGATGGCCGGGTGCGATCTGTTCTCGTTCCTCACGGGCGACGCGGACGACGCCGAGCACCAGAAACAGCTGTTGCGCGAGGAGAAGGAGAAGGCGATGTTCTCCGGCAGGAAGAGCAGGAGGGAGCGACGCGCGCATCGGTCTGTCCCGTTTACCCCACTTACTTATTATTATAGACGCTGAAGTTTGTATGTATGTATGGATGTTGGGTACTCTTTCACCCCAAAATAACTGAATGGATTTTAATGAAACTTTACAATTGTATAGCTTATACATTAGAATAACACACAGGCTATAATTTATAAAGATATTGTGTGAATTGTCAAAAATATAACAATAAGAGTCAAGTAAGTAGGAAAAAATTCTGCCATATGCAAGCTGTTTCATAAAAAACTCATTGCTAATTTCCTTTGACTGCACTAGGTGGAATCGATTCTTTCTTTGTAAGTCATTATAAATTACTCTATTAAAGTTGGCCTCCGTCATTCTGCTGATACTGGATACTAGCCCTCGGCGCTTAAACGCACATCATTTAATAGACGTTTCATCCAAAAGAATGCTCTTTTGTGCTCTTTCCATTATTTCTATTTCTGGACTTTCGCTGGAGGAAGCTAACTGTCAAGGATATGGCTAAGGCGCTTTTAAGTCCTGAGATATTTTGTGTCTAAACGTAATTAGTTCCTTAGAAATAAACATGGAAACTAGGCTACTACCATGCACAGATTTTTATGTAAAGAGAAAGATCAACATTTCATCCTATTATATACTATTGCCACATCTACATCTGACCTATGCCCGCCACATGATAGGGGGAATCCATGAAATAAGTGAGGCTTTTGTTATTTTACAATAAAATAATAAAATTTAGTTTATTTATGTTTATGACATAAAATTTACCGGTCGATTTAGACGAGCTATATTCTCCCTCTCCCCACCTTTGACCTTAATTTCTTTCATTTATAGTTCACGGGAGAGGAGCTTCTCATTCCAGAAATTAAATTTAGAGGAAAACTCGACGAACGCGTATCATAATAAGGGTTAATGTTGCAGCGACAAGAAGTTGGCTTCGCGCGTCGTCAGCCCGCCGAGCTACGCGGCGCCGGCCGTCCGCACCCGCTTCTCGTCGCGCTCCCCGTCTCACTCGCGCTCGCTATCTCGCTCTCGCTCACAGAGCCGAAGCGCCTCGCCCGACGCCGACAACATACAGTTCATCACCTCGTTCGGTGGAGACGAAGATGACGTTAAACCCGGTCAGTCACCACCCCTTGTCTGAATCTCTGATCTTGGAGATCGAAAGTGAACCTTAATCCCTAAAGGCACTTCATAATAATCCACTCAAGAAATATATTTAAACAGCAGTCATATCAACTTCTTTTCGGAATTGTGAACTGTAAAAGCAGTATCGGTATAGAATCAATATAGATTGTTTTTATGTAGAAGCATATGAATTTTTAAGTTGAAAAGTATTCTAGTGTTATTTTTAATATTCTTAATTCCTTACACTTATTTCTAATTTATATATCTGATGTTTAAACTTATAACTTACCCGATTCTGCAATATTTGCGTCTCTTGCTGCACATATCATAAGCTCTCACTATAATATACAATGTGACAATATACTTTGAAGGGACTGATAAAGAATGTGACCCTTTGACATTTTATATGTAAAATTGGCTATAAAGCTTAAAAAGTAAAGTTGGATAGATTATGTTAAACAATTAATAATGAACAAATGTAATAAATATATTTTTTGTTGTACTTTATGATTCCTGTGTCCTATGCCTTGTTAATGAGAAGTTTACATTATTTTGATATTGAAAATGGTGAAGGGTGGTTAATTATTCTATGATTGATTACTATGGAAATTTCCAATGTTGTTTGCTTGTTATTGTTTCCATATTAATAGCAAACAATTTAAGATCTTAAAAAAGGCTTGACTCATAAGGTGTTATACAACATACCAATACTTAACTTCAGATTAATTAAATTGGCTTAGAAAATTAGATTGTATGGTGACTGAAAACCTGTACAGCTAAAGTTTTTCAGGATCAGCTCAAATTTATGATACATGTATCAAAAAAATATTCAATGCATTCTTTTTATACTTCATTTTTATGTGTACATAGACCAGAGAAACATTAAAGTTTTGGACTATTATTAATATTATGTATTATTATCTTAAACAGCAAAAAACCAGAAGACCCTTTATGCGGATAAGTTGAAACATAATTTAAAGAAGACGGAACTTTACGCGGAAGTAGCTCGTAAGAAACTTAGAGAGGTACCAGCAAAGAACCTGGGGAGAGCAAGGTAAGAGTGAAATATTTACTCTCTAAAGTCTAAATTGAGTATTTCTGTAATTAATAAGGTAATAAAAATGTTTGCACATGTTACATCAATAGATGTGAGGAAATTTCCCGAAAAGTCAAGTTTGGTTACCAAAGAAACAGCTTTGGAGATAAGTATCAGTTATACTAGCAACCTTTAATAGCATAAAATGATGATGTAGAGGCTTCTAAAATAAATATTTTATGAGTAAATTAATTATACATACTCCCAACTTATTCATTAGACACATAAAATAATTCAATTCTAGTTAAACAATGATTGGAACTATGAGTTCGCCGTTAAATCACGTTCCATACTTTATTAATTACATTTTGTACATTTTTTTTTTCATAATCTCGTTTCAGTTCACCGCAGCACGAAGATAGATTTCCGCGTCCGCAATTGGCACCACGAGGGCGCAATTCCGTATCGAAAACGAGGTCTTATTCCCGTTCGCGCTCTCGCTCGCGGTCGCGATCGAGGTTGAGGTCGAAGTCGCGTTCGCGCTCGTGGCGAAGGTCACGCTCAAGGTCAAAGTCGCGCTCAAGGTCGAGGTCGAAGTCGAAGTCTCGCTCTGGCACCTCGAGGTCACGCTCCTCCAGCTCTTACAGGAGATCCCACTCAAGGTCAAGGTCGCGCTCGAGGTCGAGGTCCCGCACCGCCAGGAGTAGACGCTCCCGTAGCCCCTCCAAGTTTGTATATGAATGTCCAAATATATTTGTATACACTTCGATATTCATTTGTACACTTCAAAATATATTCCAACACAATGAACACTCCGATTCTTACTTACAGCAGCACCAGTGGACCGTCGCGTCGCAACAAATCGAGATCGATGTCGTGCGACAGGTAAACTGAATAATTATTTACAAGCTTCAAATTCGGCCCAGGTTTGATCAACGTAAACTAACGAGTTGAAGGCGCCGGATTGAATCGTAGTTCCTTAGACATGTAATTGTTGGACTGCGGTTTTTCTCCTAGTTCCTCATATATATCGGTTAAACTACGACTGACTGGCTTAGCACCTGAGTTTAAACGTATTAAGCTTGATATGTGCGAATAGAAGATGCTAGCTGTCTATTATGCATTTTGTACAGTAGTACAAAACTCCGTAGTAGCACTTCGAGGCTTCATCAGTAGATGAAGCCTCGAAGTTTTCTTTATCGAGATGAATGGACTTGGCCATTTCAGCAATGACAAAGGCAGCCAGAGCAAGCCGGTCGTGCCACGCTACTACGGGCGCCGGAAAGAGGACAGGTCTTCCAGCGAACTCTCCGTCGACTCGGATTCTAGTGACACTGACGACGAAAAAAATAAGTAAGCTTGCACCGTATTCTAATTCATTGATGGTTCCGTGGCGCAGTTGCAGAGCTCTAGTTTTCGGTGCCGGGGTTGGGTTCGATTCCCACACGGGACAACTATTTTTGTGACCCACAGGTATTTGTCTCGGACCTGGGTGTTGGTCGACGTGAAACTCAAGTACGTAAACTGGCCTTACAACTCAGGATAATGTTATCTGACAGTAAGGGCAACATTTTAAAAAAAATCCACATTCGGCCTGACTGTCTGTGTTGTTTCTGATTTTCTCCAGATTCTGCTACAGTGCAAGTTTAAAAAATAATATGTTAAAATTATGATTCTTTTTAACTGTCCTAATATAGTTATCTAATGTATCCCTATTTTGTATGTACACAACAAACATCTAATAGTGTTGTTGAAGATAATATCAAATTAAGCCAGGTCTCGGTAAAGGCTCATGCCCATCCTCATGTTTGTATACAATCAATCCATATTACTTATTAAAGCATATTTTTATCTTTCTCTACTCTCCTATCTTTTCTCAAAATTTTGTGCATATTTAATGAGTACACAAATAATAAAGAGGGATATAAACAATAATTCCAGGAATTTTTTTGGTATATACAGCGTGTCTTTACAGTCGCGACAATAAATGAACACACCTCTATAGAGGATAACTTTTAAAATTGTATTAAACATTCAAAATATTCCAAAACAAAGAATTTTAGAACAGCCTTATGTATAAAACTGTAATATAAAGTCCATTTGTAAAGGTCACAAAGCATATGAATGGGATGAATGAATTTAAAAGAGACAAAACATACTGTTAGAACGAGAGGCTAGTAATGTGATACTGTGGCAACAAATGAAAAAGTCTGATTGTATGAATCAGTCAGTTGTAGTTTTATAGGATGTTACTAATTTTGTTTCTTTTTTACTCAATTAGTTTGTTTGAAAAATATTTCTTTTAATTATGGATTTTTTTTAACATTCATATTTTTATGATTATTGGCAAGTAGCGTTAGACGTGTGTTTATTTATTGTCGCGGTGGTAACGACACGCTGTATGTATATGAATTTGAAGAGTAATTATTGTATTTATCATTTCCCTTGATTCTGTTTTAAATTTTCTCTCAACATGAATTTTATTGTACTTTTCAGATCATCGGTGGGCAATAAGTCAAACACAAACCAGAATCAGTTACGATTGTCTGGATCCAGCACCAAAGTCAGTAAGAATCATTTGTTTTTCCATTTGTATGCTTTCATTTTTAGCAAATTACTCCCTTTAAACCTTGAATACTTGTTAAAGTTTGTAATGTGCAACAAGGTTGAGAATTTCTTACCTGAGATTTGTGGACTTAAACAATTTATAACAAACCTTTTAAATTATGCATATACATAATATTACTTGGCAGGCTAAATATATTCTTGTTTTCATTGCATTTAAACTGAATTGTAAGTTCATACAATGAATGCATCACATTTTGTGGCCCAAAATTAACTTTTAATAACCAATGATATTTTTTTTAATTCAATTTATTTTTTTAATTATGTATTGAAATTTTTGAACCATCGCCTGCCTGGGGGCCTTGGTTCGGTTTGACAGAGTGAGGAATATAAACATAATTTGTTTTGCAGGGCCCATCACGAGAAACTCTTACACTAAAGGAGAAATTAAAGAGGAAAATGCAGGCTCAATTATCAAAGCAATGTGAGTATTCATTAATTACACATGTCACAATTTATAATGTTATTAAGTTTTAAGACTTTTCTTAATTCTAGACTAAGACTAAGACTCGTATTTCTTTTTTACTAAAATTAGATTTATTTTTAATTAAATTTAAAGCAATATTTTCGTGATTGGTTTCAGCCCTACATCTGAGCCAATTGTATTTTTTATTTCTTGCCATACTAATAGTGTGTAGGTATATTATTATACAAAGTTTCTTTACACTTAATTTGTGCACTTAATTAGCACTAAATATGATGTTATATTAGTTAATTCGCACATGGTTCACGTTGGTGCATTCCAGTGCGCGCAGACAAGCGGGCTGAGGCGGAGCGACAGGAGCGGGAGAGCCGGCGACAGGCTCGTCGCGACGAGGAGATGCGCGAACTTGTCATCAAGCTGCGACGCAAGTCTGTACACGCTCGCGCGCATCGCTCGTACCCAACGCACATGCACCCGTTACCCGCTCACATGCACCCATTACCCGCTCACATGCACCTGTTACTTGCTCAAATGCACACACGCATATGAGTGGGATAGCACACATAGTACTCATTACTTGTTCCTACCATGTGGTAGAGCTACGCAGCAGCTTCTGCTGTTGCATGAATATCAAAAATAACAAAAATATCACGGCGTCACATAAGGCCGGCGTGAAGTGGAAGTACTATACTTTGATTTTCCTTTGGCTAGTGAGGTAGCCTAAATTTCAAAGATTGGCAAAGCATATACCACTCCACAGGTATGTTCGACGTCCTTCGTGAATTGCCTGCTTTCTTGCAACTCCATAACCTTCTCACAAAAGAGCAATTTAGCAAAAGAGTAATGTATCCATGAACTGGGCTGTCCAACTCTTATGTATTTGTTGCAAACCTCGAAGTGACATTGCGAATTGGCTTACGTACCAAAAGTTATTTAAATAAATTATTGATTAATAAATATGATTTTGATACTATAAGACTTGATCAAAGAAGACAACATTTTTGTTATGAATGTAATTGTGTCAGGACAACTCATCAGGACATCGCAACTCCCTTAGAAAATGTATGTATTTTTATGAAAATTCAAATATACAGACGCATTGGTAACGTGTAGATGTACAAAAAAAAATAATCACACATACTTAAAAAAAAGATACATGATCCCTCAGTCACTAGATTAGTTCATTGTAATTAAATTTTTCATATGTTGAAATATTTACCTTCCATATAATTCTTTCTAAATGTAATAAACTTAACACCGCCAAATGTGCGTGAAACTTAACGTTATGTATAAATAAAGTTTTAACATAATCTAGACCCATATAAAGCCGTGGCGCGCAAGTTATTAATATATAAATCTATCAGGACTGAAGAAAAGCGGCTTGTAAGGTGCTTGGCGTCTATCTGAAACTTTTCTCTCTAACCTTATTTTGCGCCATATTCTTTCTTTTTTATACTTATTCATCAATGTACATACATATAAGAAATGTTAATTTAACTCTGCTTGCATATAATATTTTTTACCTTATTTCCTTTCCAATAAGACGTTATTTTGATTGGTTTGAATAAAAAGCCACATAAAAGCGATATTAATTTACTATCCGAGCTATATTGTACAGTAACTTTATTATAATCCATCGTGAGGAGTCGGCCTTACTTGTAGACGGACAGATAGCAAATTAATTAAAGGTGCAAGCAAATTAGTGACAAAGTAGAGATATCGTCAATACTCAGCAAGTGACTTATTTTTTTTCTCAACACAAACAGGCAACGTGAAATGCGCCATCAGCAAAATCGACGCTCCAGCGATGATAATTCCGATAGGAGCGATAGCGGATCTTCGTCGAGGTATATTTTTAGTTTGCTGTGTTTTATTTTTGCATTCTGTTTCTACTTTTTGTTGTTATCTTCTTCATTATTTTAAGTGATTTGGTAACGGTAAAAGTAGCGATTGAAATGTTCCTACTTTTGTTTTAAAACTTGTCATCTTTATGTTTTTATTACCTCCTAAATGGCAATTACCTGTTGGCTCAACGTTGTTGGCAAACAAATCTTTGATTTCGTTGTCATTTATCGTAAACGCGCTCAGCACTTTACATAGCCCGCCCCGCCATCTATCGTCAAGTAAAGGTATTAAATAGTTTTAATTATAACACGAAAATACTAGACAATACATATTGTGGTACCAACGCGACCACCAGATGTAAACTGCTTTGGGGTACTTAACTTAATTCTTCTAAAACCTATCTGTATGTTTAGACAATCGCCAACAGGGGAGAGGAGGAAAGAGAACAGGAGCCGCTCGAAATCGTCTTCGCCCAAACAGAAACGCGTGCCGGTTTGGGAGGCGAGCGAATCGCCCCCACAAAGGCTGAGGATCCAAGAGACTGGTGATAACTCCCACTACCAGAGCAACCAGCGGAGGCGATACCCGGACAGTTCGGATGGCTACTACAACAGAGACGACAGGAGATACGAGGAGGAGAGGCCTCAGAGCAACCCGAATCATTCGACAGATACCGAGACCGCTACGAGCAGGGTTACGATAATAAGTGGGAACAGCACAGTGGCGGGAAGAAGAGGCCGTTCAACTCCCGTGGGGGATTTAAAAGTCAACCTTACAAAGGTGAAGGTCAACCTTACAAAGGTGAAGGTCAACCTTACAAAGGTGAAGGTCAACCCTACAAAGGTGAAGGTCAACCTTACAAAGGTGGACCCCACCAAAGTCATGGAGAAGTTTCAACGCCTTGGCATTCGCAAAACAGGCAACAAGACGACGATAAGCGCACGGGAAGTTATTCCAAGGGAAAAGTTAAACTTGTCGATTATTAATTAGATTTTAGTCTTGAACAATGGAGTGGAAAGATTGTATCATAACTAGATAAGGGAAATGTATAAAAACATTCAACAGTATAACGTCTTTATTATTTACTTTGTCGTCCTGAACAATCTCTATAATTTAATAGAATAATGTAATAACAGATAGTATACTACATACAGTGCTGTTTTTATATCGTTTTAGTTAGCTATATAGCAAATATATTATCCAAAAGTATAACTATAAGATAGGTATAATATTGTTGCCTAAAAAGAAATTCCAAGCCATATGAACGTAATGAATTCGTTACCTTTCACAGGATCGTTAATAGAAATATTGCGCATAGAATCAGGTGTTGCTTTAAATAAAATTATTATTAATAACTAACTAGCTAGAATATATCAGTCAAATGCATACAAGTCGAGTTATATGTAATGTACATTTCCTGAACAAAAAACTAATATTAGAAATATGACCATAAATGAGCATCTTGTCATGTAGGACACATTGAAAACCGAATTTTAAGTTAAAATTGTGAAATAAAACTATTTAACGGTATTTATTGATGTAAACTGATTTTAAATTCGACCATCGATTACTGCATTCCTGGTCAATGGAGAGATCCGTAAAGTAGTTCAATTTAAATAGAAGAAATGTTCACTTGTCAAAAATCAATACATAGGTAGATACTAATAGTTGTATATACAGCGAACTCCTTAAGGAATAAATCACTACATAGTATAAAACAAGGTCGTCCCGCTGTCTGTCTGTCACTATGTATGTCCCTTAGATTTTGAAAACTACGCAACGGATCTTGATGCGGATCTTTTACTAGATACATTGCGCCCGTACAAAGCCGGGGCGGGTCGCTATAATTTATAATAAGGTAATATTGTAAACTTTACTTAAAGCCATTATAATTCATATAAATAATTACATATTGATTCAGTCATCAATCGTATAGGCCTCAACAGCGTACTTAATTTTTTTCGTATAAATATATTTATATATGTACAGTTTTTGACTTAACAACAAACCTAAAACAAAATTCAGCTTAATCGCTTAGGGTGTCGACGTCGATGTCTTCATTATCTTCGTTGATTACGTTTGAGGGGTCAGAGTCCTTCATACCGCCCAAAGTGCCCCCGAGGCCTGCGCGCCCTTCTTTCGTGTGCCGCCATTTCATTCGGCGATTTTGAAACCACACTTTCACCTGCGATGAGTTTGGATACAGTAAGTGGTAATGTTAATATTGGCCGAAACAATGAATCGAATACAATTAAGGTGAAAAGAAATATTATTCTCTAATACATATCTTAAGGTTTTTTCCTTTAAGATGATCCAAAAGTGTATCTATCACAGCACTGTCTAGCTAGGCCTTCAAATTAAATGTTTTTAGCTCAGTGGCTAGAGCGTCAGGCCGCAAATGCCGAAGACGGGGGTTCGATTAACTCAGCGGCGACAATCTTTTCGTGCTTTTTCTACGTGTTTTAATGTTCAATCTTAAGTGCAGAGATTAGCACTATAAAAAAAACAAACAAATTAATTAAAAACAATGGCGACATCTCTAGTTAGAATTATCGTTGTAAAACGATATTCGAAATTGTTTGTATGCTGGAAAGCATATAACAGTAGATGCGCCAAGCATTGCTTCAAATGCTAAATAACAATGTAGAAAGAAGGCGTTAAGATTTTCGTCTCTGTGGCTATCAGCCGTTTAGCTCAGTGGCTAGAGCGTCAGGCCGCGAATACCGAAGACGTGGGTTCGATTCCCACAGCGGCGACACTCTTTTCGTACTTTTTCTACGTGTTTTAATGTTCAATCTTAAGTGCAGAGATTAGCACTATATAAAAACAAAACTTTAAAATTTAAGCCTTCAAATATTATGTTACAGTACGTGTCATCAATTTCCTCTATTTTCAAGTGGTTTATTAACAAAGTGATTCGATTATATGTAGGAGTATTTATACTATTATGTTTCGTCTGGTGTAGAAAATAAAAGTCTCAGCCTAATAGGTTGGCAGCACTGTGATCGACATGTTCTTCCGTAAAAATTGAAAAAAAAAATTTAACGGACCTGCGCGTCTGTCAGTCCTAATGTTGCTGCCAGTTGTCGCCTATCGGGTTTGGTTATATACTTCTGAATTTGGAATCGGCGCTCCAGCCCCTTCCGCTGGAGGTTGCTGAACACTGCTCGTGACCACGAACGTTTCCTCTTACCGCTGGATGTGACATCGCAGCGTGGCGTCGAAGTTTGCTGCGGTGGGGAACCCCTTGGAAGCGGTAGCCTGTACACTGTACAAAAGGTTCAAAGTATTCACCTGTAGTAGTAGCCTGTACACATTCACACGTATCTGCCTCCTGCGCCAGAGGGTGTGGGTTCGATCCCCGCTACTGGAAACATATTATGTGATGAATATATAATAGTGTTCCTCTAGTGTCTGGGTGTTTATATATGTAGAATATGTATTTATTTACAAAAGAAAAGAGTGCTTATCAGTTTTCTAGTACCCATAGTACAAGCTTTGTTTAGTTTGACTGTTCAGAGTGAGAGTTTGAGAATGTTGTGTAAAAATGTGTCCTAAAATATTTATTTATTTATTATTCGTAAGAAAAGTTTACAATTCAACGAATCCGTGCCGTATGCCAGACTGTGTAGGTTTGATCCCCCACTACTGATTATATATTGTGTGGTGAAGGTCATGTATTTCCAGGGTCTTGGTGTTTAGATATCTATACTTTTATGTATCTACTTATATAAGAAAAGTATGTTTATCAGTTACCTAGTACCAAAGTAAAAGTTTTGCTTGGTTTGGGACTAGATAGGTGTGGTACCTATCTAGTCCCATGAAAATGTGTCCAAATAAAAAAAATATGTTCAGTTGACGCGTATATGTTATACGTGACAACTCTACATTCATATCATATATGTTAAAGAATGCAGGAACCAGTTTTATAAAAGGTAGATTTTAATATCACATTTATCCGGACAAATCTACGGCATGCTAGTTAGTGTATGCTCGGGCATGTGTCGTTGCTACAACATTTTGTACATCATGCTTGCACTCAGTGTACTATGCAGATGTGAACACCATTCTTGGCATTCATTCGGTCTTGTCAAATCACAATTTTCTCTGACGACACGTTCGACGTTTCTACGAGCTGCCCAACCCAGGGCGGGTGTTCCTCAAAGATTCTAACTTCCACTTTGGCTCCTCTTACTTTACACAAGTGACATCCCATTGTATTCTCAAGTCAAAGGTGCGCTGTGTGCTAGCCACAAGTCCTGTTTCGAGATAAATCTTTTGGCTGTAATCGTGTTTTATCCTACTTACCTCCAAAGGGCCGCCTCGGCGATTAGCTTTGAAAATTTAGAATACATATGACCTCTGAGAGGAGCGTTGCGATACTCTATTCATGGTGATATATCAAACTCATTCATCAATTGTGATGGTAAACGCGGCGGATTGTCAATTAAATCACAACATTAGCCTGTTCCGGCCATGAGTCGTCTTTAAGTGATTCCCTGTCTTTCTTAAAGAGTGTGTCTCTTGAAACCATCGTTTTTCCCGGACAAGAGTCCCCGTAAACAGTTGACATCTTCCATTACACTTAGAACAGACTTTTCTTGTTTTGTAAGGAACTTGATTACGGCGCAATATTTCACACTTTCTTTCCGATTGAATTGATCGATCGACGATAGTTCATAGAACTTCCGCTTGTAGTTAATAGGTAGGCATAAGTATCAATATATCACTGTCGCGTTTGCTTGAATACTACTTGCACCCTCTCAGAAGATCGGCATGACGTAAGAGTATTATACTTCTTTTGCCCATAGTCTGTTGAGGTACGTACCACTGTGTAATTGTTGACAAAGCATTTAGAAGCCCTGTTTTTTTGTCTATGGTGGACGTTATTACTTTACCACCTGCTCGCTTGACTTTATCCCCTTCTCACATTGATCTAATATACAAAGAGCGTTCCTTAACTTACGGGAAAACTTTTAAAATCCTTTAAGTTTCAGTAGGTGTATACGTATACATATTTCGATTTTCCATTACAGAGTATGTTCGTAAATATTTGTTTCGGTTTTGAGTATTGAGCACTGGATGCACAGCAGTTTCTAATATATTTTGTTTGACTATTTCGATCTAATTATGTAAAGATTTCCCTTTTATCAATATTCTTTATCAATAGACCTTGTAATGTGAAATTATTATATAAATACATTTTTAAAAATGTATATGTCACAGAAACGTTACTTACTCGTAAAACAGCACCGTTACTTTTTCCCAAGTTCTTTGTTCGATACTTTGGCTTTTACTTTTGTTGTTATTGTAGTATTGTTAATTTATTGTTATTTTTGGATACCATTTATATATTGCCTTAGAGCAAAAACTTCATCAATGACGAAAATAAATTAGTTATTCAGATTTTGTGAACATAATGCAACCGCATTGTCACCATATTTAAACGTTAAATATCGAGCTATCAATACCATTATCAGACATGAGAACGTTAGAAGGTCGCTTAAAATGTATTATATATTCAAAAGGTTTTTGTACAACAATTTAATAAAATAATCCTTACTAATATTATAAACACGAAAGTTTGTATGTATGGATGGATGTTTGTTACTCTTTCAAATACTACTGAATGGATTTTAATGAAACTTTACATTACTACAGCTTATACATCAGAATAAGACATAGGCTATAATGTCTTTCTGTCTGAATTCCTAGTCTGAATTCCTCTTCAGCCTATTCTACGCAGACGTTGTCGCGGGTAGCAGCTAGTTAATTAATAATATTAAATTAGGATCTTATAAATGTATACTATTCTGACTATATAGTTTCACTACATGTTTTGGAAGTGATGGCCCAGTGGTCAGAGATTCGCTTTTAATTCAATATACTCGAGCAATCGAGTCCTAAGCTCGATGTCGGCACCAATCAAATTGTTAATTGAAATTTTAGGTGGTGACTACCTGCTCAATGGTGACGGTACCTAAACATCGTGAGGAAACTGCATATCATATAAAAAATTCGATTCGATTTCTCATATAAAAAATATTATCTAAATTTGTAGTCCACAGTGGTGAACTATATATACCCTAAATCCCTCTGTACACAGGAGGCCTTTGCTCAGCACTGGGACATATGCAGGCTGTTAGCCTGTTACTTGACCTTACTTTACAAATAAAAGTTTCGGATGAATACACGCGGACATTAATAGTGGTAAAAAGCGCATTAGCAAGTACTAATAAGTATATAGCATTTTTCTGTACGACGACGTGGAGATAGAGAAAGACGGAGCTATTTAGCCGGCACTGAAAGGGCCGCAGCCCGTATTTCGCACGAATATCCTCCCACTTTCATATCTATGAACTGTATTCAGCGCAACGAACTACACGATTTGCACGAACGAAAAAATTCAGGCGCACAGTTTTGCCGGAACTGAAGTTATTTAAGTAGAGTAAATATTTTACTAAAATTACTCATATTGACAGTATGTTTTTCTTTGCCTGACTCTATGGATTTTTTTTTATTTCTGAGTATACTCAAATTGTGTAGTGTAAATACTAAAATACTTGAAAAACCTAAATTCCAGTTAACTCAGAGAGAATTCAGCATTGTTTATTGATTAAGTACTTGTCAATATTTGTCGATGTGATAATGACGATACCTATTTTATACTAGTTTAACTGTGGCAGTGCTACCCGACAGTTCGCTGTTACACGAATGGGCAGTTCCTTCCATGGAAGTACCACGATCATGTAAAAAACCGGCGTGAATTGGAAATACTTCTCCGTTTCGTCTGGTGAGTGGGGGAACCGGAGCCAACTTTATTAAAAAGTCATAACGCATCTGCAATCCTACGGGTGGTGCAAATGTCTATGGGTGGCAGTTACCACTTAACACCGGGTGAACGGCCAGTTCGCTTGCCACCTTCTAACGTAAAAAAATAATAAATATACCATATATAGTTTCTAAATCTTAAGTGTTCCTAGTTATAGCGAAGATTTTGACAATTTATTAATGAAACTGCGAATTTGTGTACCTACCTATCATAACGATACAGTTTGTGTTTAATAAGTGAAAAGTAAAAAAAATATTTTATTGATCTGTTTCTCAACAGTTGTGTTTCTCAATAGATGATAGATAGCGCATGAATGCGCATCATGATCACTAGCGCACCGAAACTGAGGCACTCAAATTGGTGATTGGTTTATAGACTGCAATTCTATAGACTGCTTTCTCTGTCCGTATCATACGTTCTATAGCATCTCTCACATTCATTTATATAATTATGTCATATAATGTAAAGCGGAACAATTTTATTAAACGCCGTGCAGTATGGATATACGTCATCTACCTATATTATTAAACGTCATTGACTATTTATTGAAAATTTTTAAGAGAAAAGTTTTAAAAGAACCCGAACGTAACTAGCGATATTAGGAGAGTAAAGGCCCATTTACACGATGCCATTTTCTGGTACATACAAGAGCAATAATTGAATGCAATAAATTGCGCGCAATAATTTGTTAGACCATTTGTTGTTTAGACCATGCAACTCATTTATTGCTTCAATTTAATTGTATACAACAGGCAAGAAACTTGCACCGTGTAAATGGGTCTTTAGGTTCGGGTACTTTCTTTTATAGAAGAGTTAGGAAGCGACGAAATTCTTCGCCGCCCAAAAAGTGTTGCAACAGTGTTTTCTAATTTTTGAAAGAACAAACTTAAAGTTTTTTTATTATACTCGTATGTATCCGTTAATCCATTTAGGGATAGTAACAATAAAATAATGTCTCAACTTTACAATTTATGAAATTATGTTAAGCAATAAATGAATTTTTGTCTGTTTTTCACCTACATACGACCAAGGCAAGAACTTAACAATACGTTACGTACGTGGAAACAGGGCAGGGCTCTTTTTTGAAATATCTCTATTTGCATGAGCTGCTAAATTTTTACCCGTGCCAATTAGATTGAAACAAATCATCCCATCCTACCTATATACAAATAAAGTAAGGAGAAATACACGGAGAGCATTGTCTGAGGCATATTTTAAAGTTTTGTCTCTTATTTCCTGATCTCAATTCAACTTTTATGGAATTCATTTAAGATAATGCTAAAAGAGAGCTATTGCAATATAAATGGTAAGTAAGTATAACTGTAAGGACACTTAAAGTATGAAGGGAACTGATAAAACAACGAAATGTAAACTCCATCTACCCTCTCTAAGAGTGCATACGATGTTTAACAGTAAACTAGTAACTGAAGATGGGG